ATAGAGCAGCCTGGCCTAGAACTCTCAGTGATCCCACTTGAGCTTTTCAAGTGCTGGAATTACAGGCATGAACCACTACACCCAGCTCTTGACTCTTCAATTTATTTGTATTACAGTGCTGAGAGTGATTGAACTTAGGGCCCTGTGTGTGCTAGGTAAACACTCTACTTCTGGGCTATATCCCCAGCCCTCTTTCCTCCTGCAGTCTTCGGAGTAGCTGATATGACAGGCTTGTGCCACCAACATTCTTTAACCCAATCTGCACCCTGGCAGCTGGTCTACAAAAGCCCTGCGGCCCAGGATAATTCTTTTTTCAAGACTCTGGTAGAAGCCTGGAGGTATGGGGCAGTGGTAGAATGCTTGCCTGGAGTACTCAGGGCCCTGACTCCTCAACATTGCAAAGGAAAAAAAAAACTGATTCCCTAAGAACTATATTCCCAATTGTAACTTCTGTAGTTCCCAATTCACAGATTAAGAAACAAAAGCTGAGAGAACTGAGAAGCACTAATCAGAAAGGAAGTATATGTATAAGTAAGTCTGGAACTGTCTGCATTCCACCATTCCCAAACCCAGATTCAGAACCCCATTAAGTCACCTGGGCTCCTCACCTTGATCTCAGCCAGCTTCGCTCCCCGGCTGCAATCCCATACAGACAGCATGTGCTCATTGGAATCATCCACCACACAAAGAAAAGCACCCTGATCCTGGGGATGGGGACACAACAGAGCTCTGGAGGTCTGGACATTACGAACATTAGACAGGTTGGGAGGGCAAAGGAAGTTGATAGGTGTCTTTCTCAAGAGAACTGGTTGGATGAGCGAGCCCGGGACACCAGAGCTCCCCCCAGGCTTTCCAGTAAAATGAAAGAGTGGTATCCTAAGCAAGAAGAAGGATCTAGACAGACAGGGTGGCATACTTCTATGACACTTGCTGGGTAGAGGCTAGAGGCAGAAGGATCAAGAGTTCAAAGACACCCTCATCTACATATTGAGTTAGAGGCCAGCCTAAGGTACGTGAGACCCTGCTTGCTTCAAAAAACAAAGAAATAGGGATCTGGAAGCTTTGTGCACAGCTCACCACTGCTGAAAAGGCCAAGGCCCCCACACCACGTTCAAAGGCACCCAGTCCAATCTCCTGCAGCTTTAGGAGCGTCTCTGAGTCCCAGATGTGAACCACAGGCTGCAAGGGCTAATGGAGGAGAAGGGATCAGAACTCTGAAGAAAAACTGGTCTGTAAGGTCATCCTGGCTGCTTGCTCTTCTGACGTGATCTTACCTTCCCATCTTTGTCTACTCCAGCTGTCTGTCCTGAGGCTACACGAACACCATCAGGGTGAACAGCAAGGCTAAGCAAAGGGAGGAGAACTCTAGGAAGGGGTCTCTCAAGACCATCCAAGACACCTTCACCTTGCTTAAGAAGCAGCAAGGCAACTCTCTTTTCTGCCTTTTCACCCCCAGCCAGACCCTCTTAATGTCAAGCCCACCAGTCCCAAACCCCAAGACCCTTACCATCGAACGCAGTCTGTGTGACCCCGGTAATGTCTCTGGCCGCCACCTCCAGGACCCCCTGGGCCTCCCCCAGGCCGGTACAGCACCACTACACAGGCAATAAAGTAGACCACCTCCCCAGAGCGCAGCACAAACAGATTAGAGCGAGAGTCACGGCCCCTGTACCCATAACTGTGTTGGGGACCATGGTCAAGGAAAGAACCAGACCAAAGACAGGAGGGAGAAGGGTGAAGCATGGAGAAGGGTGAAATGGCAAAGCTGCTGCTTGATATTACCATCCACAGCAGGGTGGCATGGGATGACTCAGAGGACTCCCTGTCTCCACAGACACAGAAAGAAACTATAAAGGAAGGGGGACCCATAGTGGGATGGGGTGGATTCCATGGGACCTGAAGGGATAGGATACACCCAGTCAAGGCTGAGGGTCTCCGGGGGTGGGCCACTGGGCAGCTCCTCAAGACTTCGGATGCCAGATGGAATGTACATGGTGATGGGGCGGCCACGAAGGAACATCTTCACTGAAATGCCTTCTACAGAGACAAGCAGAGATGTAAGCCTCCCTTCTAGGAGACCAAAGCGGCATACCCACCATACCTGACAGGTCCCCCAAAGTAGCTCCTAGGGCTATTGCCCAAACCCTAATTCCATCATCCAAGTTCCTCCCTCTACTTCTCTGTACATACCCAAATTATAATTGCTCCTCCGAGATCCAGGACCCCCAGGGCTGGAGAGGGGGTCTTTGCTCCCACGGCTACTGGGAAAAGGGAAAAGTGTAAAGACTAGGATCAAGTCCCAACAGGTGGATGGGGTAAGATACTGATAGGTTCATCCCAGTCAGCCTGCTGGTGTGGGGTTGCTGTCAGAGCCACAGAACTCTAGAGAGACAGGGACTTTTAGTTCCAAAGAAAGAAGTGAAAAAGGGAGAGAAAGAAGAAGGAAAGAGATGGGGGAAGAAAAGGGAAGAAGAAAGAAAAAGCAATATAAAGATGAGAGAATGGGACCATAAAACATGTAGCCTGTGCCCTTTCTTCTAGGCCTCTACTGACCTTTTTATTCCCATATTTGTAAAATGGGGTCAAAGTGAAACCAGAGCATACACCTGTCTACCTTTCAGGAATCTGGGAGGTAGGCAAAATCTCCCCAAAGGAAAGTGACATGTGAACTCCAGAAGTCGCTGCCATTGGATGATAAGCTGACACAGCCAAGAAAGTGACAAGGCTAGAGTAAACCCTCAGGTCCACTAAGGCAACACTTCCTGGCTCTGGGATGTTGCCCTGTGGTACAGGATGGCAGAGGAATGGCAAAACTTCGTAGCAAGAGGGGAATCAGCTGATGGGCTGAGAAGAGCCGTCTGTGAAGAATCACCAGAGCTGCCAGGTCTCTCTCTTCCCAGCACTCCAGAGGCTGAGAAAGGAGGACTACCATGCCTTTTAGGCTGGCCTGAGCAACAAAGTGAATTTAGGCTACAGCGTGAGAACCTGTCTCAATTAAATAAGATGTCATGGGAACTTAGAGCTCCTAGAATTTTGAAAGGTATGTTGTGATACAAAAAAGTTAGCAGAACGAGAATCAGGAAAAAATGGGTTCAGGGCTTGATTCTGTGACCTCAGACACCTGATTACCCTCTCTGTGTTGCTTCACCTGGTCAATGGAGAGCACAGGAGACCACATACCCACCGAAGATGCTACAGGGCATGAATGACATAGAGGAGCGTTTCAGCACAGTGCCCAGAACACTGCAGGAGTCCCAAGGAATGCTTTGTTTCTTTCTTCCTGTTGGGTAATGAGGTCACCCACCCCACCCAGGAAGGGAGAAAGTCAAGAAACTGAGACTGGGGTACAGCAAGTTGAGGAGGGAAACGAAGGCTTACCCACCTCTCTGTGCTCCCTGACCGCAACAGCAGGTTGGCGGAGGAAGCTGCCTTCCTAGAGAGTTTCTGCCTGGGCCGCTCTGAGGGGGATGAGGAAGAGGAGGAATTTCTTCGTGGCCTGGTGGGGCAGAATGGAAAAGTGAAAGAGCAGGCCCTACAGTCCTGCTTCTCAGACTTCCCACCCTCTCAGCTTCCACCACAGGACACCTACGTGTCGGAACGCTGAAGGGGCTGCACAGGCCTAAGGACCCCTGGGGGGCCAGGAGAGCCTGCCCCACTGCTGCTGCTGCATCCTTCAGACTGGGTCCCACTGGGCTCCTCACTGCCCCCTTGAAGAGCTGGAGGCCCATTGCTCAGGCCAGGTGGTCCAGAAGATGGCTCCATCTCCAGTTTTCCCTCTGTCTGGGTGCCTCGGCTCACCAAGGATGGGCTGCACGTAGGTGGCAGTCCTGGAGGAGCCGTAATGCTGCTGAGGAGACAGCAAATCAAACTGATGCCCCAAGTTTCCAGGAAGGAATAATGAGCGCACTGACATGCATACCTGTCCCTTGTTGAAGCCGGTACGCCAGAGTCCTGCAGGGAGGTGGAGGGGCCATGCAGCCGCAGCAGGCGAAGGGCTTCTGCTAGGGCTGCCTTTACCAGTTCCATCTCTTCTTCCTGCACCCGAAGCCTCTGGCTCAAGGTCTGCAGGGTCTCATGAGCAGGGCCCTCTCCTGGAGAAGGGGCAACAAACACTCAGAAAAGTGCCACTACCTGGACAATTAAGGGGGTTCTGTCCTCCTGTCCATATTTACAACCCAATCATTCTATAGGACTACCCCCTTTCAAGCAGTTCAAAGTCCGTAGGCTTATCCAGAGGGGGGAAGACAGATGGTAGAGGATCAAGGGCCTCCTCCTCCTAGCAGGGCATGCAGTGAACCTGGCAAAACTCCCTTCCTGCTGCTACCCCAGCCTCCGCAAAGACAGGGAGTACCATGGAATACGGGATGGGGGCGGAGTGGAGGGGTATGGAATACTGCCGAGGTACGTGGGAGCCAGAGAGAGAGATGCAAGAGCAAAACTGGTGAGGAACTTCAGCCCCCTCATCCCACCAGCAAGCGCAAGTCTCTACCAAATGCAAACACAGTCAACAAGTTAGAAAGTGGACAGGACAGTAAAGTCAGACTGAGCGGCCAAGGTGTAAGGAACGAGATCTGGTGACCGTACAGAGTAACAACAGAGAGTATTTACAGTTTCCCAATGTGACTGTGGGAGTCAGAAACAAAAAGAGCCAGAATTCCCGGAGAAGAGGCCCAGAGTGACACAGCGGTCAGGGAAACATAGAGAACCAAGAAGTAGAATGACATTAAGGAAGTCCGAAGTGACAGTAGGAGGCTCTGAGGAACTAGAGTCGAACAACCTAAAGAACCGAGGAGGATGCTCAAAGCCCCTGGGGTTCAAGAGCACGCGGGCACGCCACTAGACAGCCGTCCAGCATTGGCAGCGCCCGTCGGGCTGGCGCTCCCGGAATCCGGGCCACGCCGCCCGCCCCGCCCCATACTCACCGGGCCCCGCAGCCCCGTCCATCCGGCCCCCGCGTTGCTCCGAGCGGCAGCGGCGGAGGCGTCTAAGCCGCGGGGGCCATGGCTGGGGAGAGGGGAAGGAAGCACCCCGGGCGCGCGCGCAGA